GGGGGCTTGGGTAAAAATATAGGAAATTTCCAAAGGAATTTTTACAGGATCTTGGGGATCAGGCTAAGATTGCCTTTTGGCCTTAGTAATGTATTAACATTGAGGCAGCTGAGTTCCTAAAGGACTGTCACTCCGCCTGTATCAAGGACCTGTCAGTGGGCTGTAGGCAGTAAGGAAATTTAATTTTTTCTTTCGCCTTTGTTTCCCACATCATATGTGTTTGCCAACCTGGAAGTTCCCTGAACCCCATACTTTGTGATTTTTATAGAGGCTACATCACACAGGCAGGATCAATTATTACCTCCATTTCCATCCCTTCTCCCCTCTGTGGAGGATGTGGGTGAGGCTGAAATTGCCATGCTTTTAATCATGGCTGGATCTTCCTGGTGATCCGCCCCCATCCAGGGACCACCCAGTTGACTGCCAAGAACAAAGATGTTCCCAGTGCTCTTATCACTTAGGAATATACAAGGGTTGGGGCGCCTGGGTGGCTCAGTCGTTAAGCGTCTGCCTTCGGCTCAGGTCATGATCCCAGGGTCCTGGGATCGAGCCCCGCATCGGGCTCCCTGCTCTGCGGGAAGCCTGTTTCTCCCTCTCCCTCTCCCCCTGCTTGTGATCCTGCTCTCACTGTGTCTCTCTCTGTCAAATAAATAAATAAAATCTTTAAAAAAAAAAAAAAGGAATATACAAGGGTTTCAGGAGCTCTGTGCCAAGAATCAGAGGGAGAAATCAATATATATTTTCTACTATCTCACAGGGATCCAGTCATTGATTGATAAAGGGTAACAGAATATGTTGACCCAAAATGTCCCTTTTTGGCATAAGAATTATATTAAGCTTCTTATTTTGAGAAAATGTAGACCAAGAGAAATTCTGAAAGCAGACTAGAGATCCATAAGCCTCAGATGGCTAGCTGACTTTTAGTCTCATTTTTTATGGGGCTACCATATGTAGGTACATAATTAAAATAGTATTTGTCCTATTAATCTGGGAGGGGGGTTTCATCCAAGAACCTAGAATGATGAAGGGAAAATTATTTTCCCTCCTACACCTAGAACCTAAATTCTTAATCCCAGCCAAATTCTTTTTTTTTTTTTTATGATTTTACTTATTTGAGAGAGACAGAGAGAGAGAATGAGCACAAGGGTGAAGGAGAGACAGTGGGAGACGGAGAAACAAGCTCCCTTATGAGCAGGGAGCTAGAAGGGCCTCGAATCAAGGGCCTGGAGATCATGACCTGAGCCCAAGGCAGAGACTTAACAGCTTAACCCACTGAGCCACCCAGGTGCATCCCAGCCAAATACTTAACTCCTGTCCTTCAGTGTCTAAATCCAATATCTGTTCCAAAACACCATTACTTCTGTGATATTTCAGTATTTAGGTAAGGGAAGAATGTTTTTCGTTCCCCAGTGCTTTTTTTTTTTTTTCTTTCTTTCTTGATCTCTGCTTTCTCTTCATGCATTCCAAGAGATCATGGGAGAATTGACTAAGGCAACAGTGGATTATTATCCCTACTACTACTTATATTCAAAACATTATCTGATGAAATACGGGATCCAGTAGTAAAGATGTAGGATGTGTCGGTTGTCAGGGTTAGAACCTGTTCGTGAAAATACTATGGACACTCCATGAGGTATCCATGCCACCTCCAAATAAATATAGACCATGGTTTCAAGGGAAATATGTAAAAGGCTTGAGCAGAGTTTGAGGGGATGACGAACTTTCTTGCTCCAAAGTCCAAAAGACACAGGGGTGGGGGACGTGGCAGAAGCCTTGGGTTGTTGAATAACCTCAAAAGTCACCTGGGGCCCAAATAGTTCTCCTGAGAATGTTGGCAAATGCAATCAAGAGGACCCCAGGCTGACAATGATGTGAAAGGCATTCCAAACACACACACTCAAGGTCATTACAATGCAACAGAAAGTGATTTTATTGCTGTGAACACAATGCAATAAAGCTTAGCAGAATCTCCAAGATTAAAAATAGGGGACCTGGGTCTTTTTTTGCCCTCTTCCTTTGCCTTCTTTCAAAACACAGCTCCAAAGCGGAAAAGTATCTGATCACTTTTGTCCGCAACTCTGCTCTGGCATCTTGGGGACTCTAATTCTCCCACTCCCCTTCTTCTTCGATGGGAACCATGGAAATCAACAAAGAAAAAGAAAAGGCAGAAGAAATCATGAGAGAAACTGCACCAAGTGAGAGGGAATGTAATGGAAACCTTAGTCTTAGTCTAAGTGTACAGGAACTAGACGATAGTGAGGGTCACCCAGCTGAGGAGGGTTACAGGCAACAGTGTAGCGTTGGTACTGGGGAGTGGTACTGTAGCGGCAGTCGGGATATGTCCCTCCAGTGAGATTGCAGTAAGTCATGCGAATAGGATTTGCACTCTGGTGGCAGTTATTCTGGCGATTCCAGTTATGCCGATTAGCCTTGCAGCGTATGTTGGGCAAAAGACAGGTATCAGACACGTTCTGGATGGAGTCATGCAGAAAGGTGTTTTGAGGCTTACAGATCCGATTAAGATTATTGACAGCATGCATTGCATTGTTGCATTGTACAGGAGCTACTCCTATATGCTTAATTATAAACTTTTGAAACCCAGTGAGTTGAGCCCAAGCACCAGAGGCAAGTCCTGGCCCCGATGATCCCAGCAGCAACAGGAAGAGAGGAAAGGGTCCCAGAAGATCCAGCATCATCTCTTCTGTGTAAGAAGAGGGAAGAAAATGAGAGAATGATAGTATTAGAAGCTAAAAGAGCAAAATTATTATTCACATCCATATAGATCTTTATTGCTCCTTTCAAGATTTCATTCGTCGAATTTTTTTTTTAAACCATCTCCTTTCTGACTTGAGTCTCACATTCTATGAAGGACCTGAAGCCCAGGGAGGAGGAATGTGAGGTAAGATGACTTTTCCTCTGACTGGCAGATCCCATTCTTTTCTTTGTCCTGTACTTATGGGTCTAGAACCCCGGCTCTTCCCTCCTCCCTTCTGGAATATTTCTCCTCCATCTATGTGACCTGGACCTTCTGGCCATCTTCACGGCTCTACTCTCCCCAGCCCCCGGGGTTCTCCTCTTACCAGGTCTCCGTGCTGGAGCTCCCGCTGAGATCAGAGGCCGTGGTTAGTCCCAGGCTCAGAGGCTTTTGTCTGCTGTCACTCTGCCAGGTATGCCAGCGCAGCCTGCGTGCAGCAGGGAAGGGTTCCGAGCCCTAGGAAAGAGGAAAGGGAACCTAGGGCTTGGAAGATGCACTTCTCGTGCACAGTGTGGATGAGACCCACACTCTCCAACTCACCGTTTAAAGCCAGTATCCCTGTAGACACAGGAAGAGCAAGCCTACTTAAAGGAACAAAGAAGAAGTGATAACTTCCTCAAAGAAGTTGTGAGGAAATGATGACTTCCTGATATCCGTTGAGTGCTTCCTTCCCTGAAGCTTTAGTGTTTTGAGCTCCCTTATTTCAGTTCTTTAGGAGAAAACACACCACAAACACACAAGACTCCCCCGGTCCAGTTGCCAATTGCAAGTCCAGCTTGTCACCTGTGCTTCTGACTGCCTGGCTATAAATCTGAGCTTCCCCCAACCCTTTCTTTGTTCCACTACTTTGTTAGAGTGCTCACAGAACTCAAGGAAACACTGATGGTTTATCAGTTCCTTAAGGGATAGGATAAAGGAGACAGATGAAGACCCAGATAAAGAGATACCAAGGGTAAGGTGGGAGGGTCCCTAGTAAAGGAGCTTCTTTCTTCATGGAGTTGGGGTGCATCACCCTCCCAGTGTAGATGATATAGGAAAGATGTTAAGGTTTGAAACCAACAGCCAAGAAAGAATTCTTGAGACACCTTTGGTGCAAAAAGTGGTTTTATGAAAGCACGGGGACGGGACCCGTGGGTAGAAAAAGCTGCCCTGGGTTTGTGAGGTATGGCTGATTATATACTTGCAAATTGGGGGAGGTATGGAAAAGGGAGGTTTCAAAAGGATTTTTGTATGTTAAAGAAGACTCACAGGATACCGGAGGCCTTGCCATTACCTGTTAAGATTGTCTTTCCTTCTAGTAAGGCATTGACAGTAAGATAGTTGGGAACTTCCTGGAGGAAATTACACTTTGCCCCCTTCAAGTATCTGTCAATGGACTGCAGATTATAAGGACATTTAATTGTATCTACATTCCCTACTAGAAACTAGACATTGATAGAAACGCTTTGTTCTTGTAAATTGCTAAGACTTTTGTAAACTGAGGGAGACTCAGGTCTTGCAGAATTGTAATCTCTGTAAGTTAACTATTTGTTTTTCCTTTAGGGCAGCCAGAAGTGCCTGAGGAATGTCACATATATCTCATGGGGGGGGGGCGGCGGGTGTCAGATTCTGCCTGTCCTCAGCTAGCCTTCTGCTCCCTCATCAACTCTACCTGTTTCAAGGACTAGTCAATGGGCTGTAGGAAGTAAGGAAATTTAACTTTTTCTTTTGCCTCTGTTTCCCACATTACTTGCATCACTATTAGAGATTCAGTCTCAGAAGATAGTGTAGAGGAAGAAGCAATCTTTCTCTTCTCTCCTTCCTTCTCAGCTATGGCCTTTATAACATAAGACAGAAAAACAAACGGAAGTTTATTAGCATGGATATGTCATATATACATGGGAGAAATGAAGGGATTGGTGTGAAATGTGGTGATGTTGGGGTCCAGGAGCAAATGGTCAAGACAGCATTCTTGAGTCATCTTTGGTGCAAAAATGGTGGTTTTATTAATGTACAGGGACAGGACCCGTGGGCAGAAAGAGCGGCACTGGGGTTGTGAGTAGTGGCTGATTCTATTCTTTTAAGTCGGGTTTGGGTTAGGGGTAGCCAAAGTCTCTAAGGAATTTGGAAGCAAGGGTTTTAAGACCTTGAGGGGCTAGCTGCTGTTAAGATGAGGTCATTTACTATTGTCCAGTACAACACGAGTCATGAGACCCTTCAGATGTCTATCGGTGGGGCATAGGCTTGGAGAATTAATGCTAACATATAACCTGGCGGGGGGGGGGAGGTAGAGATAAAGGAAGTTTCCAAAGAGATTTTTATATGTTAAAGGAGACTTACAGGATCCTGGGGGTTGAGGTAATATCAGGCTAAGGTTACCTTTTTCCTCTAGCAAAGTATTAACATTGAGGCAGCTGAGCTCTTAGAAGAAGGTCACTCTGCCTGTCCCAAGTACTTGTCAATGGGCTGCAAGTTGTAAGAAATTTAATGTTCTTTCTACATTTCTTTTGCCTTTGTTCTTCACATCAGGAAAGATCATTCCAAGAGGTGGTGAGACCTTGGGCTAACAGACCATCTTCAGCTAAAACAAAGGAAGAAGAGTGTGGGGAAGGCAGGCTCCAGGAAGTTGGCAAGGAAAGTATAGAAAACAAAGTTTGTTTTGCAGAGTTAAGCCTGTGCCTTCTCCACTGGTAAGAGTTTCTTGTGATTTAGAGTCATCTTTATCTTGTTACTAGACATAGGGAAACACCCTTAGGGATAGAGATTTTCTCTATGATGATAAATGTCCCTTCTTTGTAAATGGGTGATTTATAGGCTGCTTTCAGAGCTTCTCCTCTGTCTTCTGTTTCTCAAAATAATCAGCTCAAAATCATCTTTGTGCCAAAGAGCCATCTTTTCGGGTAGTACATTCTGGTCTCCTATAAGAAAGAGTCTGGTTGGCCTAGCTTGCATCTCATGACCGTCACTTGACTCAGTAGAGGGGATTCGAAACCCTGATGGATAACCCCACCAATACTGCACACAAGCGGGGGGCGGGGGGCATAGTTCCAGAAAGGAAATGAATATGCAGCTATCCACATGGGGGAAAGTGGATGTGGGAAAAAACAAGCAACAACACAAAACTATTATATTAGTTGTGCTTGATCCATTTTCTTTCCATGTGGTTTCAACCACCATCTTTTAACCCTTTAATAAAAGGAACTTCTAGAGTTTTTAGAATGAAGTATTTGTGAAAACTTACTGTGGGAGACCAGAATAGACCACTCTGGAATACAAGTATAAGCAACCAGAATATGCTACCACAAAATATGCCACTACATTTTATTTTTGTTTTATTTGTTTATCTGTTTTTGTTTTCATTGTTTTAGAGAGCGATAGCTTGTGAGAGTATAGGGCAGGTGGCAGAGGGAGAGGGAGAGGGAGAGAGAGAGTCCCAAGCAGGCTCCAAGCTCAGCACAGAGCTGGATGTGGGGTTGGATCTCATGACCCTGAGGTCATGACCTGAGCCGAAATCCAGAGTCGACGTTTAACCGACTGAGCCATCCCGGTGCCCCACGCCCTACATTTTGAAGCAGCTTTTTTTTTTT